AGAAGTAGTATTTCTTTCTCACAGTCAAAAATTTCAACTGAAATATATAAAGAATAAATTTGTCTCACTTTTCATCTCTCTTAGATAGAATTGTTATATTCAGTAGAGATTCTATTGCTGATTTTCAGAGATTCTTATTCTGAATGAGAAATTCTGCACTAAATTCAGACATTGTAGTAAAAATAATAGAATTTTCAAAGAAAGATGACTAAATTAAAGCTATAACTGATTTTTGAACTTTAATATCAGTTATTAACTGAGAAAAGAACTGCTAATTAATTTCATTTCTAATTCTGAAAATAAGATTTGAGTTTAGCTTGTTTTTTTATAAGATCTTCTGATTTAAGACTTTAAGAATAAGTCTTCTATTTCTGAAGATTTGAAAGTTCTTCTCTTTTTACATTTTTTTTTTCTTTTCTATGAACAGAGATCTGAGTATTATTCTTCTCAGTTTTCTTAGAATTTTAAGCAGGTTTTGAAATAGCAGGTTTAGAGATAGCAGATTCTGCTACTTAAGTATATATTTTCTTCTAATTTAAAGAATTTATTTATTATTATTATTATTCTTTCATTATACTCATATACAAGCAGAGCTTATAATGAGTTTTTGTATGATGTTAAATACAGATCAAGTGTTAGTTATACAGAAGAAAATAAAGATGTTGAGATCATGTCAAGATAATAAGAACATACAAAATACAAAGAAGTAATAATTAGATATATATAATAATAACTTCTCAGCCCAGAAATATAGAGCAATTTATTGAAGCAATTTGTACATCTCTGTATTTATTAGAAACCTGAGGTGCTTGAGTTCCAGATTTAATGTATTCTCTGCGGGTTTCAAACTCACACACCTTGATTTCCCACGTCAAGGCGCTACCAGGTGGCCGCATTAACCATTCGGCTACTGAGACTCTGATTTGAAGAAGAAGATGAAGAAGTAGAGGATGAGAAAGAGTCAGTGACTATACTAGAAGATTTCAATGTTTTTTGAATTGTGTTTGAAATTTCAAGTTTGAACTTGATCACTTCTTGTAGTTGTCTAGCCTGAGCCTGAAGAATTATCAGAACTTCTTCATTCTTCTAACTCAGACACTGTTTTCCAAGAATTTTGCTTGCTTTTTCCAGTTCCTGTATTTCAAAAAAAAAAAAAAAAAAAAAAAAAAAAAAAAAAAGAAGCTGTTCTTCTTACAAATTTAAAAGATTTTAACAGTGAATAGAGATTGCTTTCTTTCTTGATATTTAAAGAGTATTATAGCACTGTGACAATGTATGACAGCTGATTTCATATTTTTTTACAGTTGTAGTGTAATTAGAAGTCAATTGCACATTCAAATCATCAATCACTACTTGTATAGCTGATTCATGGTCCATGCTGTGGGTTTTTGAACATGGAGATTGAGGTAAGATTTGTGCGAGTGTTAGGTGTAAACGAGCGTTAGGTGGTTGATTATGTTAGCAGTAGTTCGTGAAGTGGCTGAGTTTACTGAGGTCAAGTTTTCTGCTTCCTGAGTTTTCTGCTTCCTGAGTTTTCTGTCATACACTACTTGTCTAATACTCACTAATACTAGCTCTCTTAGCTCGCACATTTGTTTTACTATAAATAGCTCTATCTTTTGTATGGAATTAGATATAATAGATAGTGTACGGATAATATAAGGAGCAGATCTTGATACACATAAGATTCATATGTTTCCGACATATTCATCCGAGATACTCATTCCGACACGTGCAGGGCAGTGAGAGGATTGGTTAGTTGGCGTTTTCGGAGACTAATTTGGCGGCACGGGCGGAAAAGAAGAAGCTTTTATCACTGATGCTCTCATTGCACAAGAGCACGTCCCCCTTTCCTTGCTGTTGCCTCATCCTTCCTGTCCTCAAGTCCAGAATGGACTTCTACTTCTTTTTCTCCCTATCGCGACTACCTTCCTTTCCTCAGATGATACATATAATCGTTCGCATTTTCTCTTTCTTTCTTTTTTCTTTTGGATATGACTGTGCTTTCCATTTTTGTTGATTAGTATTTGATATGCCAAATTTTCGTTTGCGAGGGGCAATATGTTCATAGAGTGAAACTTTCTTGATTCTGCTCTTTCTTTCATCTCAAATATCACATGGGGCAATGCAGCTTCTGTTTCCGTACATGCTCTCCGTGCAGCTGCCCTTTGCCAACGCGCGGGTAGATTGCGATAAGATTGCGCAGAACATCACCAAAGCGACACGAAATCAACACGTTGCGTAACTTTTCAACTACATAGTTACATAGTATATAGGAAATAGTTGGTGGGGTCGCAAGGATATATATAATTGCGCCAGTAAGTCTACTCACCGAACTTCAATTCCATGGAACACTATTATATATCTATCTCTGCCTGGCCTAAGATCTCTTACCCTAAAACGACGGCAGCAGCGAGCTCGTCGTGCATGGAGAACTAGGTATATACAATTTTGACCCCGATGTCCGACAAATTCGGCAACTAGCCGCCCTCCAGGCCGCCGATGCATGCCCGATAATCCCACCCCAGCAGAGCCCCTGAAGGTCGAATTTACGCCTCCAACCTCAGCAAGCTTTTACTTTCACAACAACAAGTGGTGGTGGTACACTTCAACTACCTTTTTATCCGGTTTCGTTCGAAAGCATTGTCCCCAAGCGAGGAATGAGGCATATTCATTCCCAGAAGTCGTTAAACCAAATGAGGTTAAGGCTCCGGTTATATAGAACTGTGTGTGCTCTTCAGAACCATGAGTCCACATGGACGTGAGACCAAAGCAGAATTGAATTTCGTTCGTTGGTGAACTGCAGCAGGGCTTTTACTAACGGGCTTCCATCCATTGGAGGTCGGACGATGGGAAACGACGCCACCGGACGGGAGGAGAGTTAGACTCTCGGCTGCGATGGGGGTTCCATCGGGCCTATAAAAGTTAGTTAACTTAGTTGACTTAGCAAGGGGAAACGGTCGGCTTATGTCATCAGCCCTAGCCACATCCTCCCAATCGGGCAATTTTGACTCCATCGTGCGAAAAAATTGCTCCAGGAGTCAGGATAGTCGTTGGCCATGCTTTGTCTTCCCAGCGATCATGAATGCTCAATATCTGTCTCATTATCTGTCACAAGTACTGCCCCCCAATCTTGATCAATAAAAGGTAGATCGGGTTTATTGAATTAGTCCACGTGGTAGTTCCCAGGAGCGGCTCCGGTTGTTATGAACAAACCAAGGATCTAGCCAACTTTGACGCTGGCCTGTCAAAATTCCAGATGCATGAACCGCTGCTTGAAAGGCCAAGGCATTAAATTAAATCTCTAGAACCCAGTATCCGATAATATCGTTCAAACTTTGCCGAGTACCCAACCTAGCTGAATTCACTGCCAGGAGGAACTAATAGTTATCAAGGAGCAGGGGCTAGTTGAAAAGCCGGACATGATTTCTTCGTATGGGCAATTGTCGATGTCCAAGAACTTGGGTCGACCGCCAAAATCCTCGACTATTGCCGGACCCCTCCCAATAGAATTTGGCATTTCCCTGGTTTTCGGGTTTGCTACCCACGATAAAAAGGTACCGAAGCCCTGCTTTCACAGAATAGAATTTTGATGCCAGAACCTAACTTTTCTCGCACCCTTCGTTCAAATTACAACAATACATTAAGATGTCAGACAAACAACTCAGCGGCTCAACAGAAGGGGCCTCCTATGAGGACACGAAAGGAGGCACCATTCATCAATCCCATCAAGGTTCCGCCTCCATAGTGCCCATTCTTGCGTATCGCAAGGCCGGCGAATCCCATTCCTCTTGGGCTTCTCGGCTTCGCGACGACAACATTCGTTCTGTCGTTACACCAGTGCGGTGCTGGGTATGTGTTCTTAAGATTCTATATTACACTGCTGCTTCAGCTTTGCTGACTATATTTCCAGCCTTCCAGACTCTAATCCCTTGGGACGTGTCGGCCCTGACGCAGCGGTTTTTGGTTTAGCATTCTTCTTCGGTGGCATGTCACAGATCATTGCTGGTATCATGGCATTCACTACCGGTAATACATACGGCACTACAGTCCATATCTCGTACGGGAGTTTTTGGCTTAGCTATACGATGTTTCTGATTCCTTCCCTCGGTATCAAGGATGCATATGCAGGCGACCAGCGCGCTTTTAGCTTTGCGCTGGGGATTTACCTGGTCTTTTGGTGTTTGCTGACCTTAATGTTCCTTGTCGCCTCATTGAGGACGAATTACGCGACCCTCGGTGTCTTTGGCCTGCTTGTGCCTGCCTTCTTTTTCCTCGCGCTTGCAAATTTCCTTCGGACTACCCATATGGACCATGCTATTCGGTTGAACAAGACTGGAGGCGTATTTTCATTTTTGTGCGCCTTTGTCGCCTTCTATGCAGGTGCTGCTGGTTTAATGGCGCCGGAAACAACATTCGTGCACTTGCCGTTGGGCGAAATGGCACGTCCCGACGAAAGTTCTGTCGCATAATACGATATGATCTCGCCACTTGAAGCTTGTACGAGAACAGAGAAGACGGCCTCCAATTTTGATGATATCGATTTTAGGACAATAGCACCTGCAAAATCTGAACACCAACAAGGCGAGAACGAAAACCTAAGCTCTTTGCCTAATTCCGACAAACTTGCGCCAATGGTCTTGGACTAGATTGTCAATGGTGGGACGCTTTGTTGCTTGGTCGTGTCGTTTGCAGAGTTTCCTCGAGTATCCCTTTTAATGTGCTGGCTTTTAATCACTTCCCATCTGGTTATCCCAACTTTCTTTGCAAGGCTAGGATACGGCCGCTTTGAGCTTCCCCGTTTTAATTCTCATTTCTGCAACGTAATAATACGTACCCCTTTACTTTCTGCGCTCCCTCGGCGAACTCCGTTGTTTTGTAATTTATGGTTTAATTTTCAAAGCAGTATTCACAAGACCTAATCTAATACATATGTACATGTACATACATAATACTGAAACCTCACCTCCGACTCAACTAATATGTGGTAAAACACCTGCACAATGCAGGCGTGCAGGCTCGTTGTATGCAGTTTTAGTCCCAGTCAAACTCAATGATTAGTCAATAGCTTCCGATTAATAAGACCTGGAGTATATTGTGGTGGCGCAATTGACTTATGAGCCCTCTACCAAACTTCGACGCTCATATCTCTGTTCCTGTGCACGGGCTTGTCTAGGTAGTTAGGATTCGGGATTACGAAGCCAGCCATCATGCGGATGCGGAAGCTCTTTGACCTGAACCCGGCGCGCTATCTCAATCCTAAAACACGCCAACGGCAAAACCAGTCAATAGCACAATCGGGCTACCCAGCAAAACTCCTAATTAAAAATTAAATCAATAATTAGTCACTCACTCTTTGAAGCTAATCTCAAATAGATCACAGGAATCAGAAAAGTTGACCTTAAACTAAAAGCGCCACTCAACCTTGTTATGTAGTAACTTAGACCTCGTAGATAGATGTGGGGGAAACCAAGATGCGTGGGTTCAAAACCCGCAGGGGAACATCAAATCCGATCAGGACAAGATTGAAAAACCAGAACTGAAGCAAGCTTAGGTTCTTAAAAATACAGAGATATACTAAAATAGCTACATTAAATTTGCTCTCATCCTGAGCTGGGATTATGTATTTGGAAGTCTCAAGTGGTCACTCTTTTGTGGTTCGAAAGAACGTTCGGCCGCCGGATAATAATGCGGCCGCTTCCGAATACGCTTACGAATGTAAGGAGCCCTAGCTTGACTGGCCGACCTCGCAGGAAGCAGAAAACTTGACCTCGCTAAGTGCGCCACTTGACCTCGTTATGTAAGCTGACCTCACAAATGTGGCCTGTGTCACTACCCGACCTCGCACAATACATCTTTTCTTGTAATTTGAAACCACTCTTTCTTTCTTAATTATTTACCATCAATTCTACAATCAATTTTTAATTGATTATAGAACAATTCTTTTCTCTCATCATAATCTTCATATATAGAGAAGACTTTACTGATCTTATTAATAATTACAATTCTTCTTCTGATACTGAGATTGTTCTTGAATCTGATAATGAGATAAGTATTTACATAATTTACACTGAATTGATTGTTAACTGGTTTTCAATTGATTGCTAATTGCTTAAACACACAGATTGAGTCTGTTCTCATCTCTCTAACTGATGCAACTGTCTGTTCAATATGTATCTCTAAAGTAGAGTACAGTCATGACCTGCCTGAGTATTCTAAGACTTATATACAAGAATATATATATGTGATATCAACTGAGTCTTTAAATGTTGAGAAAATGACATAAATAATGAATAATATAGATAATCTAAATTAATTCTCAATTAATTAATAATTAACTAACAATTGATTCAGATTCAGTATGAAAAAAGTTCTATTCACTCATTTAAAGAAATATATTACTCTTTTCTTCATTCTAGAGTGAAGAAGTATAAGTTTAAATGCACTAGTGTTAAAGTCTGTTAATATTTAGATTAAAATTTATATTTTGCATCTTATAATAAGATTACAGAGAAAATATGAATAAATATTCAACAACTGTAAAAGAGTATTCAGTTAATTGAGAATGATTAGAGAAAATGCAATGCTGTTAAATATAAATTAATTATTAATTGATTAAGAACTGATTGAGAGTTGATTGACAATTGATTTCTTAGCTTTACACAGGTGATTCAAGTACTGTTTTAAGAAGAAACTTTCTGTATATAATTTACAGAAATCTGTGTATCTGTCTTTTATTAACATGAGATTTCTGTATAATTTATTTAGCTCTTAATTGATTAATAACTGATTACTAATCAATTAGCAGAATGTCACTGAATATCATGCTTCATTTATTTCTTATATGAATTCTTTCAAGATAAATCATATTCATCACTTCTTTTGACCAGTATAAGAAGTTACACAGATGAATATTGAATTTCTTGAAAGAATCTTGCAAGAAAATCTTTTTTTCATGGAGAAGAAATGTGAAGTTATGAAATAATTAAGAAGTATAAGAAAGTTCTGTGATAAGCAATTCTCAATTGATTCTCAATTGATTCTCAATTGATTAATAATTAATTATTAGAATTTGATCATTCTGCTGATCAGAGAACAATGCAGAAATTATCTTACAATGTTATTTTTCATATTATGATTACAGTGAATTCAGTAAACTGTTCTTATATGCTGTTTATCTCTCATGAAAATCATACATATTCTTCTTCTTCTCTCAACAAATCACCTGCAACAATTATGACCGAATTCTCACCTTGATTCAAGAAATGCAAGAATCAAATATAACATTGTGTAAGTTCTAATTGATTCTCAATTGTTTTTCAATTGATTGAATATTGATTGTTTTTAGCATTCTTTCTCAAAAGTCCTGCTTTACAGAAATTTTGTAATGAGTATAATAGTCAGAGTCTGACTGAAATTCATATCAGTTTTATTAATATGAATCAATTTCAAGCTATACTATAAAAACAATGACTATTAAGTTTTTCTGCAGATTAAGATTACAATGAAGTTCTATTTCAACTAGATTAAAATCCAGCTTTGAAGATAGAATCAATTTTGAATCAATTTACAATCAGTTACTAATTGATTGTATATAGAACTATGTACAGGATATTCATCAGAATAAGAAAGATTTGATGATTATCTGTATGTTAAAAGAACAAGCAGCTCTTCTTCTTAGTCTTTCATCTTTTGAAGTTGATATGTCATACAAATGTATTAAATCTTCAAAAATGAATGAGATGATCTTTGCAACATATCTTCCTCAGCATGGAAAAAGTAAGTGCTTTTTAAAGTATTTATTGATTGATTCACAACTGATTGACAATCAATTCATGATTAATTATTATCTTATATCAAATCTTTACAGAGCAGGAAAATCCTGAGAGATATTATCACTTATTTCAACAAACATTTGCAGTAGTACAAAAGCTGCAGAATCAATCTGTTTCTTTTGACTATCTACATGAATTGAAGATACAGGCAATTATTGTAGATATATACATAAAACAGATGACTGATAATTGATTGATATTCAATTGACAATCAATTGACAACTCTCTACTAATTAATTCACTTAGGCCTAGTACAATATCTTACATCTATCAACTCTGAACATCAATCATTTGATTGACAACTGAAGAATATTCTTATCTTTTATCATATTCATTTTTTTCACAGCATTTCCAACATAGTGAGAACTCAGAATCAAGGTATCTCAGCTTGAAATCATATGACAAGTCTTTTAAATTGCAAATCTCAGAATGACTATATGAAATTATGCAATTTATTGATTCATAAGTAATTCAAAAGTAATTGATAATCAATTACTAATTAATAGATAGAACATGAGTTAGAAAAAATTCAAAATTGAGCTGTTTATAAAAAAAATGATGTTATTGCTTCTGAATTGAATAAATATTGTAGTTTGATACCTTGTGCAGTGTATAATTCAGTTGAAATCATACAAATCTGCAGAGCAGACTCATAACAAGTTCTATGCTTTTGAAAGAGGTCAAAGTCTTCTTCAGAGAGTACTGAGGTGAGTGAAGTAGTTGTTAATCATTTATCAATCAATTGTCAATCACTTATTAATCAATTCATTCATTAGTAATTGAAAACAGAATAAACAGAATATACTTCAACACAAAGCTCGCAGTAAACATGGAATTCATTATTTCTATTGTATAGATACTATGAAGGCTCATTATCAGTGTTATATTAGATGAGAAGGTATGTTGAATATAATACAATCAATTGTCAACTGACTGACAATTGATTAGAATCTCAGTGACAAAAACACACGCGAGTTTCATATAATGATAAGATTATTGATTTGAATGATGATGACAGAGCTTCTGTCTCATCAGTTCAGATAATATCTTCATCATTGAGATCAAGATCTCAATCTTCATTGCATTCAGTTGTTTCACAAAGATCTATATCACAAACACAGAGATTAACTCCCAGGTGTGTAGAAATCAGTTATTAATTGATTATAAGATAACTAATAATTGATTCTGAATCAATTCTGAATTGATTTAAAGAACTTCAAGTCAAACTCTTCATCATGTAGCATCTGCAAATCTTACAGAATATATACAGAATGCAGATTTAGAAAGAAGAAGACAGCTTCTTGTTATTAAAAGAGAGGAGTTAGAGCTTAAGAAGTTAAAAGAGAAGATGTGAGATCAAGAGCTGAAAAATGAAGAAAGAATGATTAAGCTTGAAGAGAGAAAGTTAAGACTGAGACAGCAGAATTGATTGAGAATTAATTCTGTTTATTTTATAATGTTCAGTATTTTTCTAGCTAAATTAATTGATAATTGATTTGAAATTGATTCACAATTAATTGAAAAATAAAATTCAATATTTTGAAAATTTAAGATCTCAATCAATATTAATCATATAATAGTGAAAATAAATTTAAAATATTATATTTTTAATTTTTTATACTTTTTATTATAGAAGA